CTGGGAAGCCGGCGGCACCCAAGAGGGAGGCGCGGGGGGCCATCCAGGAGCCAGCCAAGCTGCTCGGTGAAAAGGGGGAGAACCCGCACCCTTTGCATGAAACGTTGCTCCCCTTCTGGGCCGAGGAGCAGCTGGGAGCCTGTCTCTCTACCGGACCGGTCTCTGTTCCGTTAGGCTCCGCACCGCACACGGCCAGGTCAAGTCCCAGGTCTAGGGAGGGGCTCTCACTATTGTCCATATGGTCACGTGTCTTTACACAGCGTTTTAAAGCTGCACTTATTGGAGTGGCTTGGTTAATAGAATCATACAGGTCTCAGGAGCACAGGTCTGTAATCCACATCTGTACAGTGTCCCGTGCGCTTGCCACCCAAGCCGTGTCTCTGTCCATCACCATTTATGCCCCCTGCACCCCTTCAGCCTCCCCTACCCCTTCCCCTCTGCTGAGGACACTATGTTGTCTGTGTCTATGAGGTGTATGTGTGTGTGTGTGATTGAGTGTGGGTGAGTGTGTGTGTGATTGAGTGTGCGTGTGTGTGTGATTGAGTGTGTGTATGTGAGTGTGGGTATGTGTGAGTGTGTGCGTGTGTGTGTGTGATTGCGAGTGTGTGTGTGTGTGTGAGTGAGTGTGGGTGAGTGTGTGATTGAGTGTGTGTGTGTGAGTATGGGTATGTGTGAGTGTGTGCGTGTGTGTGTGTGATTGCGAGTGTGTGTGTGTGTGTGAGTGAGTGTGGGTGAGTGTGTGATTGAGTGTGTGTGTGTGAGTATGGGTATGTGTGAGTGTGTGCGTGTGTGTGTGTGATTGAGAATGTGTGTGTGTGTGTGTGTGTGTTTGGTTTTTGATAAATAAGATTTCAACCATCACCAGCTTCCTTTCCGCCTCCCGCTGTCACGAGGCCTCCAGGGCGGGTGGGGCAGAGTGGCTCAGCATTTCTGAGACGCGCTAAGGAGGCTGCGGGAGATGCACTGAATTCGGGTCAGCGAGACACATTGAGGTCACTGGGGTGCACAGTTCAGTGATCGCCAGCTGTTCCGGGGCCCCAGTGGCTTCTAGGCACCCTCCCGCCACCCCCGGCTGAGGCACCCCACTTCCTGCCTTCCGGTCATGCCCCCAGGGGGGCAGGTGGCAGGCAAACCCCGTTGTGCTTGCAGATGAGCGGCCGTGATGAGTGATGGGTAGCAGGTCTCTCCTCTGCACCCGCGTTGCTCCGAGAGAGAGGAGAGTCGGGTACAGCTCCCAAAAGGTGACATTCTTGTTCTAATTGTTATTTAGAATGAACGGATGTGTTGGCAGGAAGTGAAGTGGGATGACTTTTAGTTTCTAGTTTCACACTTGAAACCACACTGACCGCCCTGGAGAGGCATTCTCATTTAGCAATGTCCTTGCGATGGGCATCCAAGTGGCAGCATTTCTGCCGGCCTGTCATTTCTGACCTCGCATAGGACGATTCTGCAATTCCGCATCCATAGCAGACGAGGGGCAACATTATCTTGTTCTCTGCGGGCTGGTAGTCATGTCTACTTGGTCAGAACCTTAAAACGGCCGTGACTGCTGGGAAGGGCCTGGGGGCTGGGGGACGAACAGCTGAGCC